CAAAGTCATCCACTATGATTATATTGGTGTTTACTTTCCCTTTTATCCTATTTCAAGAAGTTTTTGTTTTATGAAATTGAGTGCACCAACATTCAGTCCATATATATTTACAATTATTATCTCTTCCTGTTGAATTATTCCTTTTACCAATATGTAATGATCTTCTTTATCTCTTCTGATCAGTTTAGGCTAGAAGTCCAGTTTGTCTGAAATTAAGACAGCTATGCCTACTTATTTCAGAACTCCAGTTGCATGAATTATTTTTTTCTATATTCTTTCAATCTATATGTTTCAACCTGTATGTTTCTTTGTACATGAGGTTTATCTCTTGTTGGCAGCATTAGTTAGTTGGGTTTGGGTTTTTTTTTTTTTTAATTCAATCTGCCAAGTTGTGTATTTGAGGTGTTTAAGATATTTACATCAAGTGTTATTATTGACTGTTAGTTACTGATTCCTGCCATTCTATTATTTGTTCATTTTTTATCCTTTTTCTATCTTCCTTTTGTTTAACGACTCTCTGAGTTAGACACACTTTTACTTTGGACTCTTTGGTGATGTTGCCCTCAGTGTCTCCATTTAGAATTCCCTCAAGTAATTTTTTAATGCTGGTTTGGTGGTCATGAATATCTTTAGATCCTCTTTGCTGATGTAGTAATTTGGACTGGCAGTTGTTTTGTTTTAAGGCTTGAAAAACTTCACTCTAAACTCTCCTGGCCTTTAAAGTTTGTATTGAGACATCTGCTGTTATTTTGATAGGCTTAACTTTATAATTTACTTGACCTTTTTCTCTAATAATTTTTGGTATTCTCTGTTTGTTCCAGATTTCTGAGATTTTTTCTTTTTTCTTTTTGAGACAGGGTCTCACTATGTAGTTGAGACTGACCTGGAACTCACAATGTAGCCCAGGCTGGTCCTGAACTCACAGTGATCCTCCTGCCTCAGCCTCCCGAGTGCTGGGATTACAGGTGTGCACCACCACGCCCAGCTTCTGGGATTTTTATTATGTGTTAAAGAGAGGTTCTTTTTGGTTATGCTTATTTAGGCAGCATTTAGTTGGGTACCCATTTCCATCTCTAGATTTGGGAAGATTTGCAAAGTTTTCTGCAATGATTTTGGTGAATAAATTTTTATGCCTTCAGTTGCCTTCTCCAGCTCTGTACTTCTTAATTTCTTGACTACTATAATTCTTAAGTTAGCCCTTTAATATCATCTAGGCTCTTGAATCAACTTCTAGTGAATTCTTATTGTTTTTAGAGTATCACTGAGTAAGTGATCTACTACATCACTCTTATCCTCAGGCCCTGATATTCTGTCTTCTGGCTGATCATGTCTACTGGGATGGCTTTCAATTGTTTTTTGGGGGGGCAGTCCCCCAAGGAGTTCTGCTTGATTCTTTTTCATAATCTCTAATTCTTTACTAAAGTGGCAAATCATATCCTACCTTGTAGCTGTTTGTGTCCTTTTAAAGTTTGTTGAATATCTTATTAAATCATTTATCTGCTTATATAATCCTCTTTGAGTTCACTGAACAATATATATATATATATATATATACATATATACTCATTCTTTTATCTCTTCAGACATTTTATTTTTTTAACTCTTTTCCTGCAACTTCTTCCACTTCAGTGCCCATGAGATCAGCTTTTGGGTAGTTGTGAATTACTTGAAGCATCTTATTGCCTTGTTTTTTCATGATTTGTGTGTTTTTGTGATGAATGTTTTAGATTAGTTGGGCTAGAAAGTTCTGCCACTGTCATAGAGACTCCTGGCCCTGAACTGCAAGAAGGACTAACTACTGGTAATATCTATATGCAAAGAACTAATCATATATCAGTATATAATTTAGAGCTCATTTAGCAAGTTTTTCACTCTTTAAGTGACTCAGGGCTACAAAGGATTAGTGACAGAGAAAAAGCTGGGAGATAGAAGATGATACAGAAAAAAAGAAAACTAAAGAGAAACAGAAGTAAACAAAAGAGAGAAAGTAATTTTCAATGGTATTATTTTTATAACTATAAAGAAGTGGGGGAATCTAGGAAACTTGGAGGATATGTGGAGAAGATGGAGGAAAGAGAGTAGAGAAATATATTTTTAAGTAGTTAACAGAACAGTCTTTGTGGAGATTGTATGTAATTTATCAGTTTGCCTAAACCCTATATTAGAATTCCTAAGTAACAGACTTTTTTTTTTTTCCTGGTAATGGGGATTGAACTCGGGTCCTTGTGCTTCCAAGGCAGGCCACCGAACCACTGAGCTAAATCCCCAGCCCAAAATTTTATTTAGATTTCTCTTTTAAGGTCTTTTTGTCTTTTTTTTTTTTTTTTGGGGGGGGGGGACGGGAATCTCAGGACCTTACGCTTGTTTTCCAGCAGGCGGTGAAACCACTGAGCTAAATCGACAGCCCTAAGCAACAGACTTTAGTAAGAGAGAACTTACTAGGTCAATGGAAAATACTTTAGAAACAGAAAAGATACTTAACACTCATATACAGTTGTTCATTAGCTTATTCTCCTCACATACACTCTAGAATAAGCAAAAAGAAAAAAATTAAGTTTTTATGGCAGTTTTATATACAAGAAAAGAAGGGAGAGGTAAAGCTACTTGTGAAAAGGGAAAAAAAAGAGAATGGAGGAAGAATTTTAAATGGATAGTGAAACGAGATACAGAGAATTTGAGTCCAATTAATGACCTAAGTGAACCACTAATTTGAGAAGCCCTACAAAACAATCATTGGTGAAGAAGAACCTAATATGAGATGCTAAGATACTGTAGTACATTGTATTTAGATTAATCCTAATAGTTCATGTAGAAAAGAGGAATAGCTAGACAGGAAGAGGGAAAATATAAATACAAATATAAACATATGCAGAGGAGGGGTTCAGAGATAGGAGGAGGTATAAAGGGAGAAATAAGGAGGATAAGAATGAGATTATAGATGGAGGTGTGAAAAGCAATAGGGAGATTGTATCCACCTGTTGAACTACCAGTCAAGCAAGGTTAGATGACACTTAGACACCACTTTGAAGTGGGCACATGTGATTTCACTGCATAGAATGTTTTACAAGCAATAACAGAATATTATACACATAGCTATAACCATACACACATACACAAAGCCTGACAATCAAAATTCACACAAGAAAAAAAAGAAAAATGCAAAAAGTCTGCAAAGGGTACCATGTTCAGGAGCCTCTGGTGACCTTGGAATGCTTATGGGTGGCCAACAGGTGGCAACCACAGATCCCCAGTTGAGATTTGGTTTTAGGCTCTGTTTGCTCCCCCTGGTTCACCACTCTCAATGTCCCATTTTAATTATATCCCAGTTCTGCCCTGTCTTTCTGTGGCCAGCATTTTCTGTGGTCCCCTGTGATTAAATAGGAGGGAGGAACTGTGTTCCTGCAAACCTTGCTGATGGCTTTTCTCTGCCCGCTTTACTCCCGGGCAAAGCAATACTCCTGCTTGCCAACATTCAATCTGGCCTGGGATTTTAGTGATTTCTGGGGGCCAGGATGAATAAGCTCACATGGGCAGAATTTGGCCACTTTTAGGGAGTTATGGGCAGTTGCTCAGATGAGCACAGAGCTGAGAGGTGTTTGAAGGGTGTGGGAGGAAGCCCACACAGGCACTTAGGTCAGTGGTATTTAGGGGGCAGTGGGAGACTTCACGTTCTGCCACAGCTCCAGAGCCTTTTCCCCTTTGATCCCACTGGTCACAGCCACTGCAAGCCACTGGGATTCTGTCTCACAGATCCCTCAATGCCTGATTCTAGGCCCCTAACCAGGACTGTCCCCTTTTCCCCTGTTTGTTGTTAGGTGTCGCCAGTCCTAACTCAGTCACTGCCTTCTGAGTGATTCTCTGGCTTGTGTTTTCCTGAGTGCCCTGGTCTGAGGAGGCACTGTTTTGTGGTTGTCTCATTCACTGAGCTCCATCGCCCAGCAGAAGGAGAGTCAGGAGAGGTGGGCACTGGGCAGTGGCTGCTAGGCTGAACACCAGTCAGCAGCCAGGCAGCCACTGCTGCATTCAGTTACTTCTATCTTGGGCATGTGAACTTTTCCCAAGACAGTTTGTTTACCAAACCCAGGGTGTAAGCAGTGCCAGGATCAAGAAGCGATCCTATTTCTTACTTTTTGTTATTGGATTTCATCTAATAGGCTCCTTCAAGTTACCTTCTTGTGGTTAAATTTTTGTTCACCTCTTGTATCTGAGTACCTGTAGATGTCAGTGGCATCTTCTGGCCACTGCTCCCTCTAGCATACCATAATGCTTCTCACATGTAGCCATTTGAAAGGGAGCTGAAGAGAAAGAAGAGCCACTAATATGTGGAGGAACCCCAAGAATGTTATGTAAATGAAACAAGCCAGTCACAAAAAGACAAATACTGCATGATTCCATTGTACTCAGCATAGTCAGATTCATAGAGTCAAGGTAGGGGCTGGAGAGAGGGGAACAGGGGATTGTTGCTTAGTGGGTTACAAGGTCAGTCTTGTGAGATGAATGAGTTCAAGTGGAATGAGTTCAAGAGATGGAAGTGGTAATGGTTGCACAACAATATGAACGTACTTAATGCCATTGAACTGTGGCACTTAACATGACTGAGATCCTCTATGTAATATGTACTTAAATAAAGAATGGGCAGTAAAGCATGAAGAAGCATAGCTCCTAGGAAAGGAGGATGGGGGTTCTGGGAACTTGGAGTAGTTCAATGGGGTTGGAACAGTTGGGGGCACCGGGGAAATGGGAGCAGAAAGAACAGAACTGTGAAAGGGAAACATTTTCAGGGTGGAAATAGATGTTTTTCCAAGGCACTTAGAAATGAGTAGGAGGAAAGAAAGGGCTGGTGACGGAGGACCCAGTGGGATCAGCAAGGAGAGTGTATGTTTTTGGAATGGGAAATACACTGTGACGTTCAGTGTGGGGGACTTGGTTTAAGCAGGAAAAGCAGTGTACCCCAAGAGTGCTCAAAGAGTCTGTGAACTTACTTGGTTCTTTTCCACCAGGCTGCTGACAGCACAGAATAAGCCTTGCTGGAAATCACCTGAGCCTGGATGGCCCAGCATCTACCAGACCCTCCGGTGCCATGAGATTGCCAGCGTGTCAGCCCTTGGGGAGAAGCCAGATTTGTCCATTATTGGCTCTGACTTACTGAATGTGAATTTCCTTATGCAAGAAGAAGAAGCAAGTGGAGCTACTCAGGATTCCTGATCCGATGGCAACTCCCTCTGAGTGCTGCGGTCCCAGTTGCTCTTTCCTTTTCTTGGCAAATTCCTCTTCTCTGTGTAATTGAAAGGTCTGGCTGAGATTAAGCTTTGCCCCCGGAAGAACAAAAAAGAACAAAACAAAAAATGATTTCAACTGACAAGGGCTTCTCCTCAAAGCAATTAGAGATTGAATTTAAGAGAACAAATCAGATTTGAGGTTTTCCTTTCTCGGGAACCATTATTTCACTGAGTGGAGGAAGTGCAGAGCGGATGGAGGCAGCCACTGGCTCCCCAAGCACCTCTACGCAGCCCAAAATATCAATGAGAACATCTGCCTTGAAGTGGGCCGAGGGCAGTGGGAGAGAACAGTGAGGCTGCTGGTAAAAATAGCTAATGATTTTGCCAGTTGAGTTTGGGCCAGGTAGGCCTCGCAAGAGAGCTTAGAGGTATCCTGTCATTAATTTCCATTTACAACCCTATGAATAGATAGTTATCATCCCATCTTTCCAACAGGGAAACTGAGGCTCCAAGACCTTAAGTGACTTGCTGATAATTAAATGACAGGAGAATCCAGAGTCTGTGTTCTTAACTTCCCTGCATTCCTGAATCTCTGCTCTGGGAGTAACGTTATAGGCCAATAGCCTTTCCCTTTTCAAAGGTCATGCTTTAGCAGTAACTTTAAGACTGTGAGTGACCTCAGAGGCAACTGTAGTTCACAAAGAATGATAGCACAGCTGCAGTGACTGAGCACTTTCTATACTCTACTGCACCAATGTCATTGACCCCTCTCAGCAACCTGGAAGAAGTACATCCTATTTTACAGACAGGAACACTGATCTTCAGAGAGATTATTTTGCCCAAAGTTACCCACATAAAAGAAATCAAAATTCAAAACTTACTTTAACCCTGACACTGGACTATATAAATTGCTACCTCTAACTCATTTTTGCAAGTGGAAAACTGGAGGTGCAGAGGTGCAAGAGTGCAAAGCTGGGAAGTCTCCTGGCCCTTTCCCAGTCCAGGATGTCTCAGTACCCACTTTCCACTCTCAGGTCAGCCCATGACCAGTAACCCCCTTAGACCTGGGCAAGAGGGCCCCCTCCTCTGGCCATGCTGTCCTCACAGGACTCGGAAGAAGCACCTACACATTATAAGATCTTCTAGAGCACTGGGACACTGGCTGGGTTGGCGGTGTCTCCTCGGTGAAGAAGAGAGCTATGGGTGGGAATAAAGAACAATATGGAGGCTATGTGCCAGGGTTGAACTCTCCTTGTATTGCCACATTTTCCAGGTAGCTATCAGGACTCCAAGAATATATCTAATCTGGCCTTCTGGGACCTCATGGTATGTCCAGGGTAGAAGGATAGAACATTCTGCATCTGCAAAATATTTATTTAACAGTTTATTAACTTGATATTTAAATTTTAAATAGTGGGCCTCCATTTGTACTGTAACTTATGAATCTTAAGGACTTACTTTCCTTCAATGCTCAGATTCTTCTGCTCCCTCACTCCAAGGCCCCTGTGACTTCATTCCCTATTAGGAGACCAAAGAATGTAGGATTCTCACTGGGTATATGTTAGGATTGCCCGCCCCCAGCCCCAGTGTGACTGACTCTCAACACATCTCTATATTTCCAGCAGTCAGCTTCCTGTTTAAATTGCCTGATTATCCAGAATTTGTTTGTCCCAGCCAGCTGGGAATCCAACCTCTGGATGCTCGTGGAGTCTTTACATGTACCTGTGAGAAAACTCACACTAAACATGCCTAGCCAAAGAAGAAATTTATTGGGCTCTTGAAACTACAGGAAAACTACCACCAGGAACCTGAAACCCCTATTGGGACAGTTTTCCCAATTTTTGTCCCCTCTCTCCCCACCTCTCTCTTTCAGCCCCGTTTTGTCCCCAATACAGGAAACATGGCCACTACAGTCTCCAAGTGTCTTGAGTTCTAAGTTCCAAATCCCTTGTATAAGAACTTTCTGGCATATCTTGAATCAGTACTTAACTTGGACCAGCCAGCTGAGAGCTGGGGTTGATCCTTTAAAAATAGCTGCTTTGAAAGAACCATGGAGATTTGGAGAGACCCTGTTGTCGGAGGAAAGGGGGATGGTGGGTACATAATTCCTTTTATGTCTTTTGAGGCTAGACAACTGCTTTCCATTGCCACGATTCTATTTGACTGTACCTGCCTGCCTCCCTCCATTCCTCACTCTCTCTTCCTTTTTTCCTTTCTTCCTTTTCTCCTTTCTTCCTCCTTTCCTTTCTTCTCTTCCTTCCTTTCCTCTTTCCTTCCTTCCCTCCTTCTTGATTTGGATTTGAATAGTGATTTCTCTCCTTCTCACTACCTCGGGCTAGAGAGGACCTGGTCCCAACTTTTCCGCCAATCTGCTGATGGACCTGAGCAGATTATTTTGTCCCCTGAGCCTTAATTTTCTCAGGCTAAAAAGGATGCATTTGTTCACACAACTAGTTCCCCCTCTTAAAGCCTCCTAAGCAGTCAATTCAACTCTTCCCACCCTGCCTTTCATAAATTTCCAACTGTAGGTTTCTCTTTGTTCAGTGAGGTAGGTATTCATTCCTAATCCTCGATTTTGAACCATGGTCCTCAGGTCACAGACTGCCTACTGGTACTATTTTCAGCTGACAGATCTGCACAGATATGTTTTACTGAGTACACTGTTCCCTCCATCAACTAATTCCTTGAAGAGATAATATCATTAGAGGAAGTCCCTGGTGTTCAAAACAAACCATCTCTATAGATTATGCCAAGGAGAGTTCTAGATACCTCCAGATGCATTTTCATAATTGTTCTGGCTTGATGGAAGGAAATGGGGCCAACTAGGGAAATGACTGGCACTTTCTCCTTTATGTCTTTTTTCTGCTCCCTCCTACTAGCATCCCACTTTCTTACCAGCCCTGGTGTTTAAGAGAATAAGGACAAGAATCAAGTCCAACCATTGTCTTCAGTTCCTTGAATCAAAGTGGGGGTTTGTAGGGTAGAATTGGGGTTCCCTGGAGATTAGATTGAAAAATGTTAGATCAATTTCAGGTTTTGTTGTTGTTGTTACTGTTGTTTACCTCACTTCTTCTCTAAGCACTTTATATCTTCAAGTGCCTGAGAATCACCACAAAAAGAAGTTTCCCAAAATTACTTGGGCAGGGAACTCCTCCAAGATACATCATATGGCAAGTGTGTTCCAGGGAATATGTTTTAGGGAACTCTGTTTGAACTACAACCCATCTACATTCAAGTACTACTCCAATCATTCTTTTACATGTTGTCTTTTCTGTCAACTTTTTGTCTTTCATCTTCTTTCAATTCACCTTCCCATCAATGTGAGACAAGCACTATCCTTAAAATATACAGATGAGGAAATGGAGGGGAGGTCTTCTCATCCTAGCCTCATCTCTTGGAAGCCCAGAAGCTGGCTGGGAAAATCTAATGGCTCCAGTGAACATATAAGGAAACCGAGGCACGGTGCCCGAGGCAGAGCCAAGTATGGAAGTAGCTCCTCTGGATTTGGGATCTGTCCTTCCAGTGCACACATGGAGAGCTGTGGGAAGATGTGTGGGGGACAGTAGGAAGTACAGGACTGGATGGCATTTGGATTGCTGATGCCTGGCATCTCAACAGGGTCCCAGGAGAGTCTGAATCTGCCCTGCATCAGTCTGTCTGAGTCTGAATCTTTTGTGAGACCTGGATGAGTGGATGGTGAAACCAATGTGCCCTTTCATTGTCAGCAAAGAAGCCTGACATTCCTACTGATCGAACACTCCCATAAGCTAGGCTGAAAGTTAGGACTGTGCTGAAGCTGACCAGGGTCCTTACCTCCTCCTTTCAAATCTTACCAAGGCAGGCTGAAGACTACAGCTTGAATTATCCCACCTGTGAGTAAATGAAGTCTAGTCAGGACCCTGGTCTCTAATCTGTGGTATTCAAGAAGTTGCCTTTTTTCCTTCTGTTTAGGACAATCCAAAGAAGAATTTGTTTGCCTTTCCAGATGCTTCAACAACAGGGAGGAGCCCATTAAAGAAGGGCCATTGTCTTTTCTAGTACTCAGGGGACACCTATGGAGCTCCTGGAATTTGGGTCAGGTTCTTTTGCAATCCAGATGGAGACAGGATCTCTCCAGAGGACGCTCTGTCTTATCCCAACCCGGAATACTTCCGTGCCATCCAGCCTCTTCTATGCCCTGCCCCTTGTCCCACCCCTTCCCTTTCAGAACTCATATTGAACCCAAGCCTTCCCTACCCTTTACTTCTGCCTCTCATCATGGAGCGTGTCATAAAAAGGTGTCATTTGTGTGCATTTTTAAATCATCAGATGTATTACTACAGGCTTAAAATTCTTACCTACTGGTTTTGTTTTCCTAGACAATACAAAGCAAGCACATTTTTCAGGGAGATTCCTCTCCCAGAAAACAGGGAGACAGGAAAACTTTGCAAGAAAGATGAGGCAATATTCTTTCTCATTCACTGTGGCACATTGCTGTCGGCTGAATAATGACTCCTCAAAGACGCAAGTTCCAGTCCCTGCTACTTCTGAACATGACCCTATTTGGAAAAGGGGTTTGCAGATATGATTAGGTTCAACATCTTGAGATGGGAAATTAATCTGGATTTTTCAAGTGGGCCTAAATACTATTTATCACAAGTATATTTGTTTTGTTTTGTTTGTTTGTTTGTTTGTTTTTTGTTGTTTGTTTTTGTTTTTGTTTTTTTGGGGGGGTCCTGGGGATCAAACTTGGAACATTTTGCTTGGAAGGCAGGTGGTGGAACCACTGAGCTAAATCCCAGGCCTTACAAATACCTTTTGAGTGAGAGACAAAAGGAGATAACAGAGACACACTGGGGAGAGGAGAAAAGTAGAAGAAGCAAAGAGAGAGATGTGGCTACAAGACAAGGAAGTCAGAGCAGCCACCAGAAGCTGTCAAGGGCAAGGAAGGACCCCCCAGAGCCCACAGAGGGAGCACAGCCCTGCCCACATCTTGGTTTCAGATTT